AAAAAAAAAAAAAAAGAAAGACATTTTCCCATAGCAGCAATAATATCCAAAACCAAACTTGTTGCCATCATCAATTCCAACTCATAGCAACCCTATAGAACAGAGTAGAACTGCCCCATAAGTTTTCCAAGGCTGTAGTCTTTACAAGGGAGCTCTGGTAGCGTAGTGCCTAAGGCACTTGACTGCTAACCAGAAGGCTGGTGGTTCAAACCCAACAGCCACTCCTTGGAAGGAAGATGGGGCAATCTACTTCCGTAGTGATACTGCCTCGGAGTTGAGTCCGACTCGATGGCACATAACAACAACAACAACAGTCTTTACAAAAGCAGACACACACATCTTTCTTCCATGGAGCAGCTGATAGTTCAAACCACAGACTTTTCAGTTAGCAGCTGAGCCCTTAACCACTTCACCACCAGAGCTCCTGAACAACAGTATGGTGTCATTGTTACGTGCCATGGAGTCGGATCCAACTCATAGCAACCCTGTGTACAACAGAATGAAACAATGCCCAGTCCCGTGCCAGCCTCATAATCCTTGCTATATGTGAGGCCATCCTTGCAGCCACTGTGTCAGTCTATCATACTGAGGGCCTTCCCCTTTTCTGCTGACCCTCCAATTTACCAAGTGTGATGTCCTTTTCCAGGGAATAGTCCCTTCTGACATGACCAAAGTAGGTGAGATGAAGTCTGGCCATTTTCACTTCCAAGGAGCATTCTGGCTGCACTTCTTCCAGCACAGGTTTGTTAGTTTTTCTGGCAGTCTTTTGTGATTTCAGTGTTCTTCACCAACACCGCAATTCAAAAGCATCAACTCTTCTTTGGTCTTTCTTATTCATTGTCCAGCTTTCACGTGCATATGAGGCAATTAAAACTACCATGGCTTGGGTTAGGCGCACCTTAGTCTTCAAAGAGACATCTTTGTTCTTCAGCAAGAGGTCTTTTGCAGCAGATTTGCCCAGTGGAATAGGACATCTGATTTCTTGACTGCTGCTTCCATTGGTGTTTATTGTGGAACCAGGTAATATGAAATCTTTGACAGCTTCAATCTTTCATCCATTTATCCTGATGCTACTTATTGGTGCAGTTGTGAGGATTTTCGTTTTCTTTATGTTGAGGTAATCCATACTGTAAACTGTAGTCTTTAATCTTCAGTGTTTCAAGTCATTTTCACTTTCAGCAAGAAAGATTGTGTCATTTGCATATCGCAGTTGTCAATGAGTCTTCGTCCAATCCTGATGCTGCATTCTTCTTCATATAGTTCAGCTTCTCAGATTATTTGTTCAGCATACAGATTGAATAACTATGGTTAAAGGATACAACCCTGATGCACTACCTTCTTCATTTTAAACCATGCAGTATCCCTTTGTTGTGTTTGAATGACAACCTCCTGGTCTATATAC